TCCAGACCAGAGACCAGACCGGAATCCAGTCTCAGACCATATGACGTCATCGGACGTCCTGATAAAACTGTTGGCTTGAGTTCTGGGGCTCAGTGAGCACAGGGCCAGCGAGGGACATAGACAGAATAGCATAGTATAGGAGCTCTTTAGTTTGAATTTCTGTATCTGATTGTAAAGATAAATGAAATACAGATGTTAAACTTGGAACCTTTGTCTTGTTTCTGCACCAACCCAGACACGTCCGTCAAAGGGTATTTTTGACAACAACTACAACATCAGTTATAATCGCTTAAAAAAGTAATCTTGAAAGTTCTTCTTCTTTCTGTTTTTGCATTTTTGCTAAAACACTACTTTCTGCCTGTGTGTGTGTGCGTCTGTGTGACAGGAACCCCCCCGCCCTCGCTGCTGCTGAGCTGCTGCTCTGATTTAAAGGGGAGCTACTGCTTTTAGGATTTTGGCTTTTCATTGTTGTTTTTCCGTTAAATTTGCTAAATTTGTCAATTAAACATTGTGTTATGACACAGTTAAACGTTTTAAACACCATTTAGTAAACAGAAGTTTTGAATATTATATGTTTTTTGAAACCCAAAGATTAGTGCTAAAGCTGTGCAATTCTTTTTAGATCTAACATATTTCTAGATTCCATTCTTTTAAATCTGCTGCGTATTTCTTAACTGTTTGTGAGTTGTGTTTGTTTTTATGTATTTTTATTTTAGTTACAAAAGCCGTTTTTCAAACATTTAAATTAGAATCTGTGTTAAAAGTAATTATTGATCATAGACTTTGTCTAAAAAGAAAGAGGGAATTAGGATTAGCTGTAAAAGTATTATATTGAGTTAAACTCTACCCAATTCACATTCAAGCGGTGACTTTTTGTTTTGACTACACGCCTGACCTTGTTGCTCCTGCTGATGCACACAGCAGAGGAGCCTGGTCTGAAATGTGCTCCAATTCATATTGACTTCATTTGAAAAGGCTGCAATTATTTTAAATTAGTAGAATATATGCTGAGATAAATGTTCAAGTGTAAAAGGGAAATTCCATAAAGTGAAACCCAAGAATGCATAGATAATTAAACACACAGTACAAAAGTACAAAAGTACACATTTTAAAGTTTGAAGGTTTATTGAGATTTGAGTCTTGTTTTTTATTAAGAGAGTTTCTGGTCTTAAAATGTCATCATTAGTAAGATAATAAGTAATCTTTATTTACATAGCGCATGTTGGGAAGCCAAGAGCGCTCCAAAATTGTTTAGACTTTAGAGAGAAAAACAATCTCATTCACAAACTGATATCTGTTGTTTTTTAAATTGGCCGTCTCAAGGGTTGTTTTTCAGACTCTGCCACACTGTACAAGGGTCACTGACTGGACACTGAGGGATCAGAACAGCCCAGAGCAGACACCATCCAACCAGCCGCAGATCGTAAAGGCGACATAGCTACCTCCGTGTGCCCCTCCCCCACTACAGACCGATGGTCGTAGGTGGCAGTGAGACCGGGGCCACAAAGTGAGGTTTTCTGTAGGCAGTGGTGGGTGAGTTGTTTTGCAATCTGGAAGTGTGGCCACTTTGCTTGTTTACATCGAGCCAGTGTGACCTTCTAATGCAGGTGGTTCCAGGAGTCTGGACACACAACCCCAAAATTCACACCCTACACACACACATACACCCTACGTACACACACACATACACACACACTCACACATACACCCTACACACACACACACACACACACACACTCACACACACACACAATTATGCACATTCACATTTACATATAGATACATGAAAAAGCCGAACATGAAAAAAAGCATTTTAAAAGTTTGCACCAATGTAAACAAATATTTTTAATTGTCTATCACTTGAATCTTTATTTGAATCAGTATTTTTGAGACCAGAAATGTTCATTTGAGTTCTATATTGTCATGGACTTAATTGACGTCTGTCCTGACACTTTTGATTTGTAGACTTTGTACTGTGTGAAGTAATTACATTGATTCTGATAAAAACACAAATTAGAGAAGTAAACTGCGCTTGCTTTTGTCTGAGGGACATTAGCAACAGCGTGAATAGAAATAGTCTTTAAAGTAGAATCAAAATGACTTAACCATAGAAAGTAACTATTGCATAACAAGCTGTGTACAGGAACTGTGACACTGCACCATTGACCAGAAGTGCATCGCAAATGACCTGATGTGCTTCAAGTGAAAAGACTGTATCTGGAGATCCTGATGTGCATCTGGAGAGACCAGAACCATGGCTTGGACCCTACTGATGTCCAAGATGACATCTCTCTATGACCTGACCTGATGACGACTGAGACTCACCCTCAGGGGACCCTGAGGACCTGAGGACCCTGAGGACCTGAGGACCCTGAGGACCCTGAGGACCTGAGGACCCTGAGGACCTGAGGACCTGAGGACCCTGAGGACCTGAGGACCTGAGGACCCTGAGGACCTGAGGATCTGAGGACCTGAGGATCTGAGGACCTGAGGACCCTGAGGACCTGAGGACCCTGAGGACCTGAGGACCTGAGAGAAAAACCAGGGAGTGATGTTTATATTATTGAAATCATACATTGATGAGTGCTAAATGAGACAGATTCTCATGATTCTTCTTTTGTTTGTGTTTGTCTCTAGCTTCTGGACATCTGATGATCTATTGGACACAGACATTTGCAGAACAAGAACCAGCCAATGAAAAACCATCTATTGCCGATGCTATTGCTACAAACCAGAACCACAACTGTGACAAATGCAATAAATAGAAAGTATTCAGACATCTGACAGACAAAAACTTTGACTTTTTAGTCTGGGAGACTGAGCAACTGCTAAAATGTTTTTAAATGATAAAGTATGAGTATTGTAGCGTTTTAGTAGATGTTAAATAGTAGTAAAAAAGTAGAATTTGACTTCCTTTGTTGTTCATAAACACATTTCCACATAAGAGTTAAAATAGTACCATACAATGTTATCCTTCTGATAAAGTAGCAAAAATATTAGAATCAGAATTATGTTACAGCTATTAAAAGTGACAAAAGTCACAAACTAGAAATATGCCTTGGCTCAAGCTGCACAGCCAAACTTTGAAGCTTCACAATAGTTAAATAATAGTAATACGTATACAGTTTTATTAGATACTTGTCAAATTCACTTGTGTTCAAACATCTGTGAATGTTGACAATGCAAAAGTTCATGAGTGTAGCCTAGACTAATGTAGCTTAGATTAATGAGATAGATTAGAACCAACAGAGATTCAAAAACATTTAAAAGCATTTTAATGTATTTGGGTATAGCACAAAAGTAGATATTTAGATATTTTTGAGAATTTTAAAAGCTGTCGATTTGTCAGCACAGATTAGAGAATCAAATACCATTGTAGAGGGACTGACCCCAGAGAAACCTGCAAAAAATAGATTAGCTCTTGTAAGGATAATAATAATTTGATTAATGATGTACATTCATCCCAAACTGCCTGAGAGGAGGAAGTGACATCACTTCCTGGTTCAACAAATGTATTTGGAAAACTGATCAAAATAATGTTAATATTAACTATTTGTCTTTCTGTGTTCACAGTTTTATTCCTGAGAATGTAGAATAGACATAGAACAAAATCCCACTAACAATAATCCACTGATAATGAAAGTAAACCACAGAGAGATTTATTAGATTAAAATATATGTTTAAGAATATGGCTCAATGAAAATATGCAAATATATTTGTAAATAGGGTTCCAGAATAGATTAGAATAGTTTTAAACTATAGTGAATAGTAAAAGTAAAGTACACAGTCTAAGATTGAAAAGTGAAAATAATACAGTGAATTAAGTGAAGTGTAAACAATCATCCTTCCCACCTCTGCACCTTCTCCACCGACTCCCACTGATGACTGCTGTCGTTGTGTCCTTGGGCAAGACACTTAACCCCACTTTGCCCAAAGCCCCCACTGAAAGATCAAGGCTATGCTCACAGTCAGAGAGCAGCCGTCCTCCTGTGGACTCACCACCTGCAGAGGGTCAGTGAGGGGCTGGTGCTATGAGACTTGGGTGGCATCTCTGACTGCCACCCCCCTGACCCAGAAATGGATTAAAGGGTAGAAAATGGATGGATGGTAAACAATCATCATTAGAATAAAAGTATAGAGTAAGAAAAGTGAAATAAGCTTCTAATTGAGACTCAGCTCGTTTTTGTCTGTGTTTTGACTGAATCTGCGAAGTTCTACTGTGTCCAATAGTGTTTGTTTGTTTTACATTTTTTATTTGTTTTTGTTTTTTGTTTATTTATTTACTTTTTTTATTTTTTATTTTTCCCAGGATAGAGGATAAAATCCACTGATATTGATTTGGATGATTATGAGTTTAATGCATACATTTTCTTTGTTTTTTAATACTTTTTTAAAGTTTTTTTTGTAGATTTTTTTTTTTTTCCACTTTATTGATTGATCAAATTGAGTGATCACATGTGATTATGTGATCACCGTCTGGACGATCTGCACCCGATTGTGGCGGATAAACCCGCCACAAAGTGATTCAAATCTCTGCCTGAAGAAAAAAATGCAAAATGTTTTGCAAAATGAAAAACCTCTTCACCTGCTGTGGGTTTGGACTTTAAACTGTTAGTGCAAAGTTAGTGTTGTTTTTTCATTAGAGAGAAAGAGTCTGTTTCTGTCTCTGTCTGTGTGTGTTTGTGTGTCTGTGTGTGTGTGTGTGGTTGTTATTGTTGTATATTTATCAGCTGTATTTGTGTACTCCCTCCTGGCCCCGCCCCTTGAGGCAACATGTGTCATAAAAGTTGATTGACAGGAACTGTTTCAGTCAAACAAAGAATGAAACAAAGAAAATACAGAGCAGAGCCTTTAATGCTGTCAGAGGTCAGAGGTCACAGGTCAGAGGTTAGACATAAGAGGTCACAGGTCAGTGGTCACAGGTCAGAGGTTAGACGTCACAGGTCACAGGTCACAGGTCAGAAGTCACAGGTCAGAGGTTAGACGTCAGAGGTCACAGGTCAGACGGTGAACAGCAGGTGACCACTGAACGTGTTGTAGTGATCAGTGGTGGTGTAAATCTGACTGGCGGCCCAGAGAACCACATAAACCACATTTCCCGCCTCCAGCAGCACAGACACAGAGTTGGACGTGGAGCCTTCACCTGAAGAGTCGTACTCGTAAGCTGTGACCATCTTAGATCCATTCTTCACCAGAGAAACTATTGAATACCATCCATAAATATGAACATGGAAGTGGTACACTCCTCTGACTGGGGCTGTGAAGATCCCTGCAGCAGACACACAACAATACACACAACTTTAACACAATACACACATTACACACAACAATGTACACATTACACAACATTAAACACAACATACACACAACTTTAACACAATACACACATTACACACAACAATACACACATTACACACACAACATACATACAAAATACACATAATATACACACAACATACACACAACATACACACAACATACACATAACATACACACAACATCCACAACATACACATAACATACACACAACATACACACAACATACACACAACATACACATAACATACACATAACATACACACATTACACACAACATACACATAACTTTAACACAATACACACATTACACACAACAATACACACATTACATACAACATTACACACAACTTTAACACAATACACACATTACACACACAACATACACATAACATACACACAACATCCACAACATACACATAACATACACACAACATACACATAACATACACACAACATACACACAACAATACACACATTACACACAACATACACACAACATACACATAACATACACATAACATACACACATTACACACAACATACACACAACTTTAACACAATACACACATTACACACAACTAGAAATGGTACAATGGCTGAAGCCATTGTGAGTGGCTGCATAGATGTTGGAAGGGTTAGGGATGAAGAAGGAAGAGGAAGGGGAAGAAGAAGGAAGAAGAAAGAAAAGGGAAGAAGAGGAAAGAAGAAGAAGGAAGAGGAGGAGGAAGAAGAAGAAGGGGAAGAAGGGGAAGAAGAGGAAGAAGGGGAAGATGAGGAATGAGGCAGAAGGGGAAGAAGAGGAAGAAGGGGAAGAAGAGGAAGAAGTGAAGAAGATGAAGTAAGAAGAATGTGTTGTAAGGGGCTGAAAGTGTTGTAAAGTGCTGAATGTGTTGTAAGGTGTTGTAAAGTGCTAAATGTGTTGTAAAGTGCTGAATGTGTTGTAAAGTGCTGAATTTGTTGTAAAGTGCTGAATGTGTTGTAAAGTGCTAAATGTGTTGTAAAGTGCTGAATGTGTATTCAAGTGCTAAATGTGTGGAAAGTGCTAAATGTGTTGTAAGGTGTTGAATTTGTTGTAAAGTGCTAAATGTGTTGTAAGGTATTGAATGTTTTGTAAAGTGCTAAATGTGTTGTAAGGTGTTGAATGTGTTGTAAAGTGCTAAATGTGTTGTAAGGTGTTGAATTTGTTGTAAAGTGCTAAATGTGTTGTAAGGTTTTGAATTTGTTGTAAAGTGCTAAATTTGTTGTAAGGTGTTGAATTTGTGTTAAAGTGCTAAATGTGTTGTAAGGTGTTGAATTTGTTGTAAAGTGCTAAATGTGTTGTAAGGTGTTGAATGTGTTGTAAAGTGCTAAATGTGTTGTAAGGTGTTGAATTTGTTGTAAAGTGCTAAATGTGTTTTAAGTTGTTGAATGTGTTGTAAAGTGCTAAATGTGTTGTAAGGTGTTGAATTTGTTGTAAAGTGCTAAATGTGTTGTAAGGTGTTGAATTTGTTGTAAGGTGCTAAATGTGTTGTAAGGTGTTGAATTTGTTGTAAAGTGCTAAATGTGTTGTAAGGTGTTGAATGTTGTTATAGAATTATATACCCCAAAGCAAGGAGAAAGCCCAAAAGTATTTGTCTTAAATCAGGAGCGTAAGTTTATTGTTAACGCACGTGCGGAGAGTCGGCACACACGCACAAAAGGCAGCATGTACCAGCTCTGGGGGCCAGAGCCCCGAGCTTCCTGTATACATAGACACACATGAGAGACAGTCACGCCCACAACCGATCGGAGGGGGCCACCGGTGAAGGAGGCGCATAGGAAAGCGCAGGCGCCATGCCCCTGTGGTGAGGCAATCAGACACAGGGCATGGAGATGCGAACAGACTGCAGGAAGTAGAAAGTGCACACATACAGACCGATACATATGCAGGAGGTGAAAGGGGGCAAGAGTGATCGCCATTGTCTGTAGGTGTCGGGGGGGGCCCGGCTCCTTCCTGGAGCAAGGACATATGGATAGAAGCAGGCATACAGATTCAAGATACGAAAGACACAAGGGTGTGACAAAGAGCAGGGACCTTCACAAAGCTCAGCATGGCGTCAGAAGGTAGTCTCTGCATTAAAAAGACCTTTTACGTCCGTGTATTTGCTGCGGCTGGTTTTAATGTGATTACTCTAAAGACTGTCACCACACTCCCCTCTTTTGATAATTCAAAACCATTTTTGCATTAATCAGTTAAATACCAGAGGCATCGTAATCACATCACCTTCAAGCTTGAAACACTTAAATTATTGCTGTCCATAGTGGACAAGAAAAGAAACATGCCTGTCAATAAAAGAAAGAGCACCTTATAATAACACAATGGATCCGGACAGCGATAAGAGAAGACAATATTAACATAATAAACACGGTCATCACGGAAAGTAGTGTCAGTGTGGCCAGCATAACAGTCCAAGGGCCCATGCCGGTCTTAGCCGGGCTACGTTCGGTAGTCTTTTCCGCGGGAATACTCACGAGCAGTGCCGTCTCGCAGTCAGTGGCACCGCTCCCTATGAGCGTGTGTGGAGCGTTAGTGGTCATGGCGATGTATGGTCTTGGAGCGGCAAGACTCTAATTGCGTTGAAGCCTTGGCCTCAGCACTCGGTTGGGCAGAGTGCTCGGGGTTTGGGGTGTGGAGACCATGGCTTGAGCACGCTCCAGATCGGCCAGGCCCAAAGCTCGTTTGATGGGAGACCTCATGACAGCACGCTTCACCATGTGCCTCATCAGGAACTGTAGAGCAGCCCTCATCTCCACCTCCTCCGGACACACGGGAGACGAGACACCAGGGGGCACTCCAGCAGAGCTCAAATCTGCATTATGGCCAGAGGGAGCAAGCTCTGGAGAAATCTTTGGAATGGGCAGCAGCTCTGCATACTTGCTGCAGCTGAGCAGAGCGCTCAGGGCCTTCATGGCTCCCAAGCCTTGGGATCCGGGGGCTGGGGAGTTGGGCAGAAGGGGGGTCGCCTCGGGAACGCTGGGATTCTCTGGGTGTTGTTGTTGGCCTGCTTCACCGACGGTGGCCGCACGCCGGCCAACTTCTTCAGCGTAGGGAGCCGCGGATGGGCCTGGTCCGTCCGCGCCCTCGGTGTCCTCGTCTATGGCCCTCAGTGGCAGCACCGCACGACAGTGGTTGGCGTGGATCCAAGTTGTCCTCTCCGCGACCTTAACGGCAGTGTCCGTCACCAGGAGGGCGAGGAATGGGCCGAGCCAGCGCTTGGACCGCCAGTGCTTTCGTCTCGTTTCCTTCACCAGGACTCAGTCGCCTGGCTTGATCCTGTGCAGAGCCGCCTGCGCAGCCTGTGGCAGGGCGCTCCTGACCTGGGCAGAAATAGAGGACAAAAGTGCATTAATTTCCTTACAATAGGACAGCATGTCGTCATCACACAAAGAGGTGCTTGGCAGATCTCTGTTCGGGGGTCCCGCGCCCAACGTGGGGCTAGCGGCAGAGCTTTGAGTGCCATTCTCTCGCTCGCACGTGCCTCCGGACCAGGGGGCGTAACTGCAGTGTTTACGTATATCAATGCCCAGAAATTCACCCACTTCCTCAATGACTTTTGCTACAAAGTGACTCACCACCGCGTTGCTCGTGGCGTGTATGCCTGTAAATACTTCAGTCCATTTGGACCAGAGATCCGCCAGACCCAGACAGTATTACTTACCTTGGCATGGTGTGAGTTCAACAAAGTCCCTTTGGACATGTTGAAATGGGCGCAGGGGCGGAGGATGAGCAGCCTGTTGGATACTTTTGGGACTTACCTGGGTTGTGCGCGAGGCATATAGCGCATGTTTGGCTGAATCTCTGTGCAAATGCCGTAAACCCCTTTGTATACCAATTTTGTGTGATTAAATCACACATCATCCCTCCTTTTGAGGCATGGTCTCGACCATGTGCTAAAATCGCAAAATGTCTGAAGAAATGCCGTGGTAAGCACGGTTTTAGGTCTGGTCCCAGCCACACACCATGCCGTCGTTGAGCCCCATTTCCCTCCCACAGCATCGTCTCTGCTGTGCCTGCATTGTTGACAGAGAGGAGAAAATATCAACGTCTTGAGTGAGGTAGTGTGTGTGTGTGGGTAGAGGTGAGTATGCCGCTGCCTTGTCCGCGCGCCGATTCCCTGCAGAGATGGGATCAGTGGCATTAGTGTGGGCCTGGCATTTGCATACAGCGATCTCTAAGGGCAACATTACAGCTTTCAGCAGACGTTCAACCTGTGTGGAATTAAGAATTGGTTTACCATCAGATTTCATAAAATTGCGGTGTTTCCACAGTGCTTCCCAGTCGTGCACCACAGAGAAACCATAACGCGTATCACAGAATATGTTAACAGTTTTGCCCGCTGCCAGCTCACAAGCCCCGGTGGGCGCGACCAGTTCAGCGGTTTTGTGCTGAATGGTAGTGGGGCAAACTACCAGAGTCTATAATATCAAAATCAGAACACACAGCATAGCCGACTCGGTTCTTCCCAGTGTTGTCACGTGACGCGGCTCCGTCTGTATAAAAAAAAATCAAGTCAGGATTAGTCAGAGGCACCTGTTTCAGGTCTGGCCTGGGAGTGCATATCTGCTCTATTGTGGCGATACAGCAGTGTGCCTCCCCTTCCTCTGGCGTGGGCAGCAGCGAGGAGGGGTTCAGCTGTGTGCATCCCTTCACCGTAGTTCAAAGAGCACCGTGTTGTACCCCAGCCAACGAGCCGCAGAAAGGCGAGAGGCCCTCTGCTCTAACAGGATCAGGGAAACAGCATGGGGCACAAGCAAAGTTAGTTCAGTGTATCCCACAAGGTCACGTGATGCTAGGGCCGCTTTCTCAGCGGCAGCCACAGCCCGCAGGCAGCGAGGCAACCCTGCTGCCACGGGATCGAGTTTTGCTGAGAAGTAAGCAGTGGGTCTCAGTGGCCCTCCGTGAGACTGCAAAAGTACCGACACCATGCACCCACATCGCTCATCCACAGTCTGAGTGAATGGCCAGGTTGGGTCAGGGAGACCTAGTGTGTGTGTGTAGATTTGCTGTTCCGTTCATCTCCAGTTGCTTTTCTCCCGGATCGTCCTCAAATCATATTGTGGGCTTTTGTGCCAAAGTGGAGGCTCATTTCCTCCTGATCCATACTACTGTCATCCCTGGAGCAGGGGTAGTTTATCTCTCATCTGAAA